AACCAGTGAACCTCCTCTTCTTTTTCTCCTCCTCCTCCTTCACTCTTCTTTTGTGCCCCTCTCCACTGACGCCTCGCGGTGGTAGCGCACGGCCGCGGACACGCGCTCCCTCACGCACGCGGAGCCGCAGAATCCGAGCGAAGCTTCTCCTGGAGGGGGTCGCGGTGACTGAGAGCCCCCACCCCCTGTCTCTCACTCTCTCCCTCCCTCCCTCCCTCCCTCCCTCCCTCCCTCCCTCCCTCCCTCCCTCCCTCCCTCCCTCCCTCCCTCCCTCCCTCCCTCCCTCCCTCCCTCCCTCCCTCCCTCCCTCCCTCCCTCCCTCCCTCCCTCCCTCCCTCCCTCCCTCCCTCCCTCCCTCCCTCCCTCCCTCCCTCCCTCCCTCCCTCCCTCCCTCCCTCCCTCCCTCCCTCCCTCCCTCCCTCCCTCCCTCCCTCCCTCCCTCCCTCCCTCCCTCCCTCCCTCCCTCCCTCCCTCCCTCCCTCCCTCCCTCCCTCCCTCCCTCCCTCCCTCCCTCCCTCCCTCCCTCCCTCCCTCCCTCCCTCCCTCCCTCCCTCCCTCCCTCCCTCCCTCCCTCCCTCCCTCCCTCCCTCCCTCCCTCCCTCCCTCCCTCCCTCCCTCCCTCCCTCCCTCCCTCCCTCCCTCCCTCCCTCCCTCCCTCCCTCCCTCCCTCCCTCCCTCCCTCCCTCCCTCCCTCCCTCCCTCCCTCCCTCCCTCCCTCCCTCCCTCCCTCCCTCCCTCCCTCCCTCCCTCCCTCCCTCCCTCCCTCCCTCCCTCCCTCCCTCCCTCCCTCCCTCCCTCCCTCCCTCCCTCCCTCCCTCCCTCCCTCCCTCCCTCCCTCCCTCCCTCCCTCCCTCCCTCCCTCCCTCCCTCCCTCCCTCCCTCCCTCCCTCCCTCCCTCCCTCCCTCCCTCCCTCCCTCCCTCCCTCCCTCCCTCCCTCCCTCCCTCCCTCCCTCCCTCCCTCCCTCCCTCCCTCCCTCCCTCCCTCCCTCCCTCCCTCCCTCCCTCCCTCCCTCCCTCCCTCCCTCCCTCCCTCCCTCCCTCCCTCCCTCCCTCCCTCCCTCCCTCCCTCCCTCCCTCCCTCCCTCCCTCCCTCCCTCCCTCCCTCCCTCCCTCCCTCCCTCCCTCCCTCTCCTCCTAAATCCCCGGCTCCTCCTGCGCCCGCCCCGGCTACGATTGTTGACAAAAGACGCTGCTTTTTGGTCAGAGAGACGGAGCTCCGAGCCTCGGTATCGGTGAGCACATGTGCCCGTTAACTTTACTTCTTTCCCCAGCACAGCTCCTGGAGGAGAGGGGAGGAGAGGAGCGGGACGGTGGTGCCAGGAGTTTTTTTCCAGTTCCTGGAAAACCGTGAGTCACAACGGGGCTGCTTTGTGTCCGCATGTAGCTCCAGCGTTAGCCGTGGAGTAGCACTGCGGGGTCGTTCTCCTCCTCTCCTCCCCGCTGCCTCCGTGTGATCCCGTATCATATGATGCTGGTTCGTGTGTGTGTGGCCCGGGGCTCACCCTGACAGCCTCCCGTCTCTCTTTGTGTCTTTGTGTGTCCTCTCTCCGGAAGGTGTGGCCGAGGTGATTGGGTTTGTCGTGCGGTGGTCGGACCGCAGCGGGCCGGCGTGAAGTGGACGCCTCCCCTCCTCCTTCTGCTTCTCCTCCTCCTCCAGCTCGTTTTCCTGAAAACCACCAGCGACTGCTTATTTACCGACTGAAGGAGCAGCCAAGATGGGTCACACAGATTGAGTGTAGAAGGGGAAAAAAGGAAGGAGGAGGAGGTGGTGGCGGAGGCAGCGGCCCCAGGCAGGTCTCCTCAGCCGGGAATGGTGTGAGCTGACACGCGTAGTCAGTCTGGATCTGACCGGGGACTCGTCCTTTCCCCGGAGCCTCCGCGGCTCCAAGCCGCGTACAGAGCCCTCCAAGATGGGGAAGTGCGACGGCAGATGCACGCTGCTGGTGATCTGTTCACTACAGCTGGTAAGTGTGTTGATTTTGTTACACATTTACGTCTATTTTGACATCGTTAATGGTTCTTTTAGGAGCAGCAGTGGGAACAAAAGGCTGTTTATAATGAGGAAGCTCTTCATCTCTGGGGCTGTGGTTGTTGGGTGAATATGTGAACGGTTTTATGGTCAGTGTTGTGGTTGAGCTTCAACTAATTATGGCTGAGGCTTTGGTGAATTGTTCTGGTTATGTTGTGTGAAGGAGTGGAAGTCACTTGGTTTTCATGAAGCCTTGTTAGGCTGGTCCTACTGCGGTGAAACCCCTGATCTGAACCAGGATGTAAAATGTGGTTCAGTTGAAGTTGTTACCCTAGAAAATCAGAAAACGATCAGATTTAAATCATGCACAGAAGGCCGACTTGCAACATAAGGAAGAAACCCATTCATCAGATGTGTTGGCCAGTCGTATTGATCCTGCACTTTTGGACCTCAGAGTGCCCCCTAGGGTGGAGATCAGGACCTCAGAAGCTGTTTCTATTGTTATTCAGGGAAGATGTGGGGAAAACAGCTCTGTCTTCAAGTTGTACTGTGGTCAATTATTACTATATTACTACTAAAGTATTGATGTTGCACTTTTACAAATTATCTTATTTAAACATGGGCTGCGTTGTAAGGTAGGAAGCAGGGTCATGTTGCATTACACCTGTCATGGTATTTTAATTATATTAAAATTGTAAAATCACAGCCTAGTGACTTTTGCTGTAAAAATACCAATACAATACAAAAGGCAGATTTGATTGTTGTTTTGTTTTTTTTAAATCAACAGTTTTCTGTTATACGTGTTAAGAGTTATTTTTTAAGAAAGTATTTGGTTTGGCATATAGTTGTTTGCCAAGATATTTAAATATATTGTCATTTCTACCGAGCACTGACACCAACTGCTGTGGAGTCCTGGCTGCGGCTGACCGTCTTTATTCATCACTCACTGAGCTGTGACTAATGACTATGTTTATAATTCATTATTCTGGCGCTTATTTGTCTTTTGTTTGTTGTGTAAATGTCTTTAAAAAAAGCCAAGACATTGGACTCACTGCTGTAGCGATGCAAAGGAACATGAAGTTAGAAATCACAGAACTTGTTTTTATTGATCGTGGAGCCACTGTAATGAATGAAGTGATCAGAACAGATGCTAATTCATTTAGCTGCTGGGTAATAACTGCTTCTCCCTTGCAGCCATAGGAGTGCGTATGCCTGTTTGTGTTAACATGTGTGGGTGAGCCAAAGGTTGCCTCTCGACTCAGTCAACATGAAGGTATAATTAGAGCAGCGTGCTACAGACCCGCACGTTGTAATCAGACATTTTTGTCCGGCCCCTCCGTACTGACGGTGAAAAGCCTTGAGCTGCAGCTGCTGCTTCAGCTACGCCACATTACAGGCAAGGGTGTGTGCCTTTGAAGAGGAGGTTAGCAGGGCAGGGGGCGCTTTGTGTCAGGGTGGTCTACGTCAGAAATGGAACTGTATATGATACTGTTACACGTTGATCCGCAGTTGTAAAGCTGTAAGGATTCCTGGAGGAAAATGTGACTAATTGGCTGCTAAATTTGTTGCATTGTTTCTGGATTATCCATAAATTAGAGCGGGTTTTATGTAACTGTACAAAACAGGTCGTGTAGTTTCATCTTCTGAGACGTCAGCATATTTTGGCTCCTTCTAGAAAACAAAATAAATATCTTTGGTCTGTGGGCAGTAATAAAACCTTGAACATTTTCACTCTGAGGTTAAGGGTTAGCTTGTTAGCATTTTCCCAAAAAAAAAAAAAACAGCCCAGTGTGATCAACATAAATGACTAGTTGACTAAAACAGGTTGCAGACATGTGAATTTATCTACAATGAAAATAATTCTCGACGTTTGCTGTCTGGAGATTGAGTGTGAAAATCTGTTCAAAACGTAGAAGATTTCTTTTCAAATACGCAGTGTAACATTCCAACAAAGAGTCCCACTGAAACGTATTACAGCAATATGAGAAGTAGCCTTGTATGTTTCCACTAAATTCAGTGGAAATATTTTGAATGAATATTTAATTTTAGTAAAGATGCTGGTTTTTCATTTTAGGGCTCATTAAAAATGGATGTAAACTTTAAGGTTGTAGCTAGTATAATGTGTGTACAGGTGCGGCAAAACGTCGAAGAAACGTACGTTCTTGTTTCTCATTTGCTAACCAACTTAAGACATTTAGTTTCTTGTGATAAAATGAACCAACATTTAGTTAATCAGCCATTAATTGTTACAAGTTTCACAAAATCTTGTTTCAGTGTATTCAGAACATACGTCAAGATTAAGGCTAGAGCTTTCTTTTTCAAATCAAAAAAACAAACTTCAAAAACCTTTTTTTTTCTTTGTCACAATCATATTGCAGTTCTTCAAATGTAATATTTTGGTCAGAGTGAAAAGACACAGGAATTCCCCTAATTGTCCCACGTCTAGTCTGTCTGTCTGTAAACAGGGTCATGGTAACAGCTCCATTCTGGTGGAACCACGTGGAGGCTGAGCAGAGGAGGGACCAGAGCTGCTCACCATCTGGTCTCCATTCTGGAGTTAAAGTTAGCCATTCCTTGTGTCCACAAATAGCTGTAGACTATTCCTCTAAAATGTAATAAGTGTGTAATATGAGCCAGCATCATCTATTCCTGTAATGAGCAGCAGCAGCAGCAGCAGTGTGAGCAGCAGCGGAGGTTCATCCAGGCTATTGTTTGTGGATGATGAGTTGCTGTGTAGCAGGGGGTTCAGCTCATAGATCCTCATTAGTTTGGGGGAGCTTTTTAGGGGTTGCTCCTCTTTTACACACACTGGACTGCTGCTCCAGGCAGTTACCATGGAAACAACTGCGGCAGAACTGCACGGTTGTGTCCCTGTCACTATGTGTGTGTGTGTGTGTTTAAATGTTGAGCTCATTTGTCTGTGTTGCATCAATATGGATGCTCATTTAATGTGTGTGTGTGTGTGTGTGTGTGTGTAGGTTGCAGCCCTACAGAGGCAGGTGTTTGATTTTCTGGGTTACCAGTGGGCTCCCATTCTGGCCAACTTCCTGCACATCATGGCCGTCATCCTGGGAATGTTCGGCACCGTGCAGTTTCGCTTCAGATACCTCATCTTTGTGAGTATACCAGTCACCTCCTGATGATGTCACAGCACATGGGTGTTTGGTTACCATGTTGAAGGAAAGTGTGTTTTGTCTGTGTGTGTGTGTGTGTGTGTGTGCTGGGCAGTATGCAGTATGGCTGGTCCTGTGGGTGGGCTGGAACTCCTTCATCATCTGTTTCTACCTGGAGGTTGGCAGTCTGTCTCAGGTGAGTTCTGTTTCTGTGTGATCAACTCTGTTTGCCCTAAAAGAAATTCACGTTTGCCCTCAGTATAATTACATTTAAAAAACAAAATGGGCACATGAGGGTTAACTCCGACTGTGTGCTGTCCTCTGGTCCCCTCTGTGGAAGGGACTTTATCAGAGTTATTGGAAGTGTAGTGTGGGAAACCAGATCATCAATCGTCATAATAATAACTGGACTGTTTGATTACTTTGTACTTACGGCTGTCCTCTGTAATAAAACCACCTGATTTAATCTAGTAGGAAAATACCAATACCCATAATTCCACACTGTGGGATAAATACAGGGGAATCAATGAGCGATAAAGAACAGACAGAGCCACGGATTGAAATGTTTTCTTAAATCTGTGCAGAGCTGCCGTCTGTGGTGGGTCTGTTGATACATTGTGTTGCTATTTATTGTGTGTGTGTGTGTCTGTGTGTGTGTGTATTCAGGACAGGGACTTCCTCATGACATTCAACACGTCTCTTCATCGTTCATGGTGGATGGAGCACGGCCCTGGTTGCCTGGTAACACCGGTGCTGGACTCGCGCATGGCCCCTGATGACCACCATGTCATCACTGTCTCCGGGTGTCTCCTTGACTACCAGTACATCGAGGTGTTGAGTTCGGCCATTCAGATCCTGTTGGCTGTACGTATCAGACGCACACACACACACAAACACACACATTATGCAGTTTGTTTGTTCACCTGCTCCGGCCTGTCATCATCAATATCTGTCTTGTATTGGCATTTTTTATCACAAAGAGGTCACATGAGCATTTGAGCGTCCTATTGGACAGATGCACAGAAATGTCATGTGATCCATTAATCTGACAGATCTTGGTCAGAATGAACTCGATGCAGCTCTTCACTGCTTTTCTTTTGGCCTTTTTGGTTTCGTTAGCATGATTTTTATGCTCTTTTATACCATGATCAATATTATGTCCATGTGTCAATCATGTGTCAGAGCATCAGTCATTGATAAAAGCCCCAGCCATACACATTCTACTGAATGACATTAATGCAAAAATATATTTTTAATTCCACCCTTACGTAACATGTTAATCTTCATGTTTCTTTTATAGTCGTGGAGTTAAGCAGCTCTTTAGTGTGAATGTATACGAACTGACTCTCCTGTCGACCACCTGAACAACAATGCTCATTGTTTCTCTCACCATCTCCCCTCTCTGACAGCTCTTTGGCTTTGTGTACGCCTGCTACGTGAGCAAAGTCTTCCAGGATGACGAGGACAGCTGTGAGTGCCTTTACCCTGAGTCTGTCCTGTTCAGATTGTTCCAACATGTGAACAGAGACATGTTGTCACTGCAGTCCATGGGTTGGAACCAATACACTGCTTTGGAGAAGTGTTGAATACAGGGACAAGTGTGTTTACTCAGACATCACAGCTCCCCAGGAAGAAGTCAATAGAAATGATAATTATTCAATGAAATTTAATTTTCAACAGAATTACATTTGTGCAAAGTCATTTCCTGTAAAAACTAGAGGAAACATCCTGTTTTCTTAAACAGTTTCCGTCCTTGCGCATAGTCTGCAACTGCATGACTGTATTCCTTTCTCGTATAACGTCTCTGCTTTGTAAGTGCTCGGTGTTAGCTCGGCCTTTTCTCTAGCCTGAGTCACGCTCAGTGCTATCACAGCTGAGGATTCCCTCTGGGTAATCTTGGCAATCCATCTGTGGAGTATTAAGAGATGCCTCCCAGAATATTCCCACCATCAGAGTGTTTGTCTGTCTGCTGGATAGTGCTGGTCTGTTGGCATGGTTGCACCATCTGTGGGTCTCTCTCTCTCTCTCTCTCTCTCTGTCTCTATCATTTAGTTGTTATATGATATCTTTTCTGGGATTTACGGTAAAACCCAGCAGGCTGCTGTGTCTGTGAACACACCGGGCTAAAAAGTTCATGTCTCTCTTTACGAAGGGTGCTAACTTTTTAATACAGGTGGTCTTTATGCCCCTCTATATGTTACCTGAGAAACTTACATTAAATTTCCTACTTTTTTGTACCTATTTCCACACTAACCCCAACCTATTTGTGGGCTAACTTTTAGTTATCTTTTTATGCTAACTTTGCTAGCAAATTCTTATCAAACTTTAGGATGTGTTTGTTTTTCCTCTTATGCTATATCCTTAGCTACCTGTAAATGAAAGTCTGAATCAAGATTTTTATTATCGTTGGCTAATAAATAAAATATATGACCCCAGGTTCCCCTGCTGCTTTGGGCTGATGTATATCAGCAGTTACTTCCGTATTACAGTTACTATTAATTCTTGCATCGTTGCAGTGAACATTTGTTAATGAGTATTTCCTCATCTCTTTTCTCTGCCAGTTGATTTTATTGGTGGTTTTGACTCTTACGGCTACCAGCCTCCTCAGAAGTCCTCTCATCTGCAACTGCAGCCTCTCTACACGTGAGTGAGAATCCAACCTGCCTTAGAATGTTCTGGTTTTTTAATCTATGTTTTAGATACAGCTTTTTTAACTTTGCAAAGCACCAGTGTAAAAAAAATGTTTGGCCACATGAGTTCATCATTTAAGTCATTTTTTGTAAAATGGTAGCATATTTATATCTTTAAAAATAATGTCAACATACGATGGTTGTATATAAACCAAGACGTAATTTCTGATGAATCAAAGTATTTTTACCACAGATGTATGGTGCTGGAAGTGTTTAAAAGTGTCCTTGAATGTGCTTGAAGAGTGCTTGAATCTGACTTTAGAAAAGGTGAATAAACCCTGAGTGTCCTTCAGGTGGAGTGCCACTCTAATGGAGAATTAAAGGAGTGGGGTTTTTTTTCACTCAGCTAAATGTCTGACATGAATCCCTTTCTTTTTGTATCCCAGGGCTGGTTAATTCTGGGTAGCGCCCTCTTCAGGCCAAACCCTGACGGCGTCACTGTGGATGGAAAAGGGCAGTCGTGCCGATTACACTCACTCTGTGTGTCACAGTTTACCTGAGCGATGGACTTAACCCCACCCAGAGGGAGCGACGTCTGCGTGTGTGTGTGTGTGAGAGAGGAGAAATAAATACAGCCCTGATTAGAATGTACGGAGCTCAGGGACCAACCAGCAAGTGTAAGGAGGGGGGGAAGAGGAGGAGGAATGGACCGTGAGGGGGGTGAAGAGAAGAAGAGCTGGAGGACACCTCTGTCAAATCACCGAGGACACACTTCACTAAACTGCCAGCTCTCCACACTCCCTACAGTGTGTGTGCAGTGTGTCTGAGAATGCATGTGCGCGTGTGTGTATATGTGTGACTGTGTAATTCCACAGGACTAGCTGATGATTTGTGGTTTCACCCTGGACTCATACCACTCAGTGCCGTTGTGAATTTAGATTTTGTTTTCTGGGGGAAGGGAAGGGGACGGGTGTCTGTGTGGATTTGATTGAGTGTGAATGTGTGTGTGTGCATGCGTGTGTTTGTTTGTGTGTGAGATGGGGGTGGGGTAGGAGGTAGATGGGGGTCACAATATTAAAAAAGAGGCACAGCTCGTACCTGTTGTTGTTTTAGAATGTGGTGATGTCAAATTAGAGCAGTCTTACGATTCCTGTTCCCAAAGCCACCTGTGCTGTTCGGAGTTCACCTGACGGTACATTACAATCATACTATTATGTTTACAGACAGACGCAGCCTACTCATTTTACATTGAGTTTCAAAACGCTGACTGCTCCAGTTGTGTCTGAAAACAACGGCAGCGTTATCTGTATTGATTTCCTCGTTGGTTCTAATCTCCTTTGCTGATTCACAGCATTTATGACACAGTAAATCCTAGAGAGAACAACACAAAGCACTGGTGTAGAACAAAGCATGTACAACCTGCAGCTGGTCATGGCTGTCTATCTCTGTCTTCAGCCCCCGTTCAATGCTGCATGCTTTTTTTTCCCCCGGATCTTTTTTTCCTTTGCATCACATATGGGGTGAAACGGACAGAGATGTAAACCCACAACGTTCCACTGGTGTCAACTGTCATCCCACGAAAGGTCAATGATGTATGTGAAGACAGACACGTTGTACGCATCTAGAGAGAGGTGAGGTAGAAAAAGTCCACAGCTTGTCCTGTATTTGAAGATGACAGAGCACAGCTGCAGAACCAGGTACAACCCTGTGTGTCAGTGATTTCCCTTTGACTCGTATGAAGGACAATAAAGGAAAGTCTTGAGATTGCTGTGATTATACAATGATCAGCCCAAACGTCCAACAGAAGCACATGCGTCTATTCAGACGCTGTTGACTGGAGATGCAGATGGCTTTGGGTTCAGGTATTAGTGTGTCTACGGGGGAGGGAGGGGAGAGGGGTACTGTGCATGTAAATATCCAGCCAATGATTGTTTTTTGTTGGTACCATTTAGAAAAAGGGGCGGGTGGTATATATTAGCAGGTGGGTGGGTGGGCGTGGGTCAGGAGGGGGTACACGTATCAAAGTTTTTCTTCATACCTGTCTTTCTCTCCCTGTCTTTCCCAGTATCTTCATGCCTCTCTCTTTTAACCAGCGTGCAGCTAGTTCTCCTCATAATCGCGCTCGCTCACCACATACACGACTGCAGCTGATTAACTGATCTCCACTGAAGCATGGGTTTTAAAAATGGAGAGTCAGCTCACGTTAGGCACAGTGACATGGTCCGGGTGGGTTTTGTTACCTGCTGTGAGAAGCAGTGAAGAGGGAGGTGAGGGACAGGTATGAAGTGAAGACCTTAATGAGTGTAAGGTAACGTTTGAAATAATAAAATTACACTTTCTACGTTAAGTACGGACTTTTGTTGTCGTCTGTTGAAATCTCATGAAGTGGTTTCATTGTTTTAAAAAATATGGAATTTGATTTTGTAGCAATATATTTAGGGATTAGACTTTGTTTTTGTCTAAATATGGAAAGAATACTAGATTTATATTTTTTCACAATAGAGGAATTAAACAAGCATTAAAATTATCTGAGAAACAGGCTCATGTTGCAAAGGACTTGGATTGACGTTTTGAGCATTTTAAGAGGCATAAATGGGTTTAAAAGTCACCCCATATAAACTAGCTTTGTGTAACCATTAGGGATAACTGTGGTGGTATATGCTTTATTACTGTATGATCTCAAATGACAGTTTAACTGAATTAACCTACCATTTCTATCTTATTGCCATAGATCTTGATAAAAAAGAACAGCTATGTGCTGTGCACTGTATCCACATGACGTCATCCATGGTGTGTGCAGCCCTGGGATCTCCTGTTATTACGTTCTAAAAAACACCCACAGGGCATGTACAATATGTGTTTAGTCCACACTCTGGCCTTTTCAGATCCTTTCAAACACTGACAGCCTGGAGGTAAAACCCTGTCTGTCCATTCAAACAGCCTGTAGGCTAGACCTCATTGTGTACAGACTCATTCAACAGCCTCCATTCATTTACATTAGAAGGTTGACAGCAATTAAATGTCCAATACTGTAAATCCAATATAATCTGTCATGGTTTTGCTTTTAAAAACATCATTCTGCTGTTATTGTATTTGACATTAATGCAATTCTTCAGGCTTGTGTGGTCTTTGAATGTTATTATTGCTGCTCCAGTGACACCGTTCTATAGAGATGATGTAATAGCAACGTTTTCTTTAATCGAGCAAAGTAAAAATAAAGAGTTCATCAAATTAAAGTACAAATAAATCATGACACAAGAACAACAAAACAGACAGCTCTAACAAAGACGCTGGTCCGGTCTGCTCGTCCCTCCTTCCCCTCCTCCTCTCCCTCCTTCCTCTCCTCCTCCTGGTTGGCGCAATGAACCGCACGCTCTCTCTCATCTCTTCCCGTCATGCAGTGCTCTCTCTGCTCCTCCGTCGAGCCGCCATGTTGTCGGAGTGAAAGCCTGGGGTGTCAGAGTGAAACTGGGGCCAAAATCCGCGACCATCCACCCTCTCCGCCGGTGAGTAGAGTCACTTCAGCGGCCGCGGTGGTAGCGGACAGGGTTTGTGCATGGCACCGTGCCCTTATTACGTCCGTGTTCAGCCCAGGCAGACATTAAACCGGGTTGTTTTGCGAGGTCGGAGCGGCTGCCTCCCTTTCCTTTTCATGCCCCCCTCCTCTCGGCGCGTCGCCCTTCCTGCCCCAACCG